TTCAACAGGCGCCCCACACTCTGCTTCCTGGAAAAGTCGATGAGGGGGTCTCTAGAGGGCTGATCTGTCTCCACTTACCTGCCTTATCTGGGGGTCACGTTACAGAGACTGACCAGCGTGGGCACTGAAATGGAGCTCACAAAGCAAGGTGCTGCTTCGTTCATTGTACAAAGAGGAGGCATAGGCTGGGGGCCACCAGATGGTGCCAGGATGTGGGACACGGGTCCCATGAGAAGGTCAGGTTCCTCCCAAAGAGCCGGGGCAGGGGAATCCCGCGTGAGGAGGGCCTCTCCCTTCAACCTGAGTCCTCTTGGATCAGCAAGGATGCACATCCTTGCCCCTTTGGAGAAGAACTCGGCATTTGCATTTTCAGTGGTCCTGGGTCCTCCTGAGTGCTGCCCACCTCCTGTCCCACTGTGATCTGGAGATCCGTGTACACTGTCCCTGGGCAAACAATGCTTGGGAAAGCCACCCTTTCACAAGTCACAGCTGTGTTTACTCACCGGGACGGCTTTATGTCCTATTTGGTGAAAGAAATGTCATTACCAATGTACATTTGTCTTGAATATAAATGACTAAAAGGTTTACAGAGCAATTGAAGCCTGCGGAAGTCTGTGCCATCTCTATTACAGTTGGGGATGAAGCAGTGTTAAGTGAAATGCTGCCTGCACCTGACTGTCCCTGCATCAGGCACAAGGAGAAAAATGGTTCCCAAAACCTCGTTTTTATCATAAGCTCAAAAGATGTCTGGCGAGGCTATCCCACCTCGGATCTGGAGTCAGACCTGCCAGGGTACAACTCCTGGTCCCCCACTTGAGAGAAGTGTGACCTTAGGCGTGTTAATTAATCTCTTTTCTTTAATTCCTTCTTCTGTCAAATGGGTATAAAGATGGTGGGTTGCATAGTAATGGTCCCCAAAGAGGTCCATGCCCTGACCCCTGGAACCTGTGAATATATTAAGTTACGTGGCACAGGGAGATTAAGATTGCTAACCAGCTGACCTTGAGATGGGGAGACGATCCTGTATCATCCAGGTGGGCCCAGTGTATCACAAAGACCCTGAAAAGTGGAAGAGGGAGGCAGAAGAGTGAACTAGAGAGAGATGTGGCGATGCTGTGCTGTTGCTGAAGGCGGAGCGGCGGGCCTCGAGCCAAGCCAATCAGGTGGCCTCTAGAAGCTGGAAGAGGCGTGGGAGTAAGTCTTCCCTAGAGCCTCCAGAAAGAACACAGCTCCACCAACCCCAGTGGGACTAATGTTGGGCGTCTGACCTTCCAGCCACAGGAAGCTAATACAGAGGGCACCCACCTCCTGGGGCTGTGTGAGCACTAAGTAACCCAGTGGGTGAGATACAGTATCCCCATTTTCCCTCCACGGCTCCCTCCTCCCTCTCCCATGGCCGGGAGGAGGCCACTTCTGCAGTTCTCACTCCCCAGGCCCCTGTCCTGCTCTGCCACTGGGAGGCACCAGTGGGAGACAAGAAAGCAGGAGAAGGGATGGGTCCTTCCTCATCTCTCCCCCTGCCTCCCCTCCTCCCCTCCCCAGAGGATGAGCCCATGGGCACTTGTCGAATCTTCCTCTGATACTTCCCACTGGGTGGCACCAGACCCCCCCAGTGGAAGGGACAGGATTCTCTACTGTGGGCAGGGCAGGCAGAGCTGGCTGAGGCGATGAGGCAGCAGGTGCATTGGCTGGACTGCAGGAAGATGTCTACCCATCGCTAGGAAGGGAGGGCTTGGGTGCTGCAGGTAACTGCAGTGAAAGAATTGAGCCTCTGATGGATTTCAGGAATCCTGAGGCGGGTAGGAAAACAACATCAGCATCCCGTAAACTGAAGAGCCTGTACTAGTCCTGAGAACATCACCCCATGTAATAGATGTGGGATGGAGGTGGCACTTCTCATTTCACTCTAGTTCAACAGACGTTTATTCTCAGCTAACGGCATAGCTGCTAGAGCCGTAAAAAATCGGGATGCACCACAAGATAATTACGAAATAATGCAGAGCTTTGTCCAAATCTCTCAGCAATGCTAACAGAGTGAAAAAAAGGACTTTTCCTTCTCTGTTGAGTGATGAATGGCTTAGCACCTTGGGCAGTTCTGTGTCCTGCACCCCGTAGCTACCTAACACCATTAGCTCCACTTCCACGCCTGACACCTCCAGAAAACACACACGCACAGACACCTCTAAACCTAATGGCAGTTAAATGTGGCTGCTATTTTATAAAATTCATTTACTTCATTTGCATCTTGAAAAATAATGGGTATCAACTGGAATGCTTAATTTTTCCATTTCCAACCAGTAACAGGTATTAATGTACTCAAATCTATAATGACTCATAGTTCAACAAAATGTGAAAAACAAAATTCCACACCAAGAACACTCTCCCCTCGAGCTTGTTCTTGTAATAATTAGGGTGAAATCATTTGATGAGGCATGATGGATGACCAGCCAGGAAAAAGTAGCACTTGCTGATGGCAGGAGGTCATCAACTCTGCTGCTAATTGCTAATTAATCCCCCAGAAACACTCACTGTCCTAATTGTTTTACTGCAAACAAAATAATTTGGGTGGGTGGGTCTTAAGAAACTAGAAGTTATACACTTAAATGTCAATTCTACCTTGCAACAAGAAGTTGAGTATTGAGGTCATTTACATATCTTCAAGATTCAGGTTGAAAAATACAGGTTTAAGAAAATCTCTTACTGTTTTTATAAGAGGAAGCAAGGTTAAAACTTGCCTTGTAACTACATGGAATCTTATCATCAAATATCTACCTAAGGAGAGTAGTCAGTGCCTCCATTGTAAGTTGACGGAAGACAAGATAGCTTGATTTATTAAGTCTAAATCAATCGGATATTTCTGGTTGTGTTAGATTTGAGGCTCAATTCTCTACCTTTTAAGTATAAAATGAGATTCATGTTAGTAGAGTGAAATGAAGCACTGATCTATGACCCAAGTAACTCAGGTCCCTGTGGTTAAATTAATTAAACAAGCAGGCCATTAATCTGAGGGGCTCTAATGCCTAGGTGACCTAAGTAAGCAAACAGAAATCTCAGCCTGTAAATGCCTCAAGGTCCGAAATCAATCAAAACGCTAAGGACGACCCATCCCAAACAGCCAACTAGGCTTTAAGCTGTAGCCAATCAATCATTTCCTCTCTTTGCTTCCCGCCTTCTCTATGTGAGTCTTTCCTCAGCTCCCATCAGCGGAGCACCCCTAACCACTTCCGGTTTGGTGCTGCCTGATCTGAACCAATTTTTTGCTCAAATAAACTCTCCAAATTTTTAATATGCCTCAGTTTATCTTTTAACACTGTCCTCCACCGACAGTCCTCACAAGCCTCAAAATGGCAGATGCCCCAGCGGGCTGTGCTGGGGACACCTCTCTGTTTCTCTTAGACTTGGCTGAATTTGATCCAAAGGAGAGAAATGAGAAAGCAGTTGTGCATTGACTGTGGATGAGTTCCTTTCTTCTCATTCCTACCGATGCTTTGCAGGAAAAAGAAGAAGAAACAGCACCCAATTATCTACAAGAAAGCAGGCTAAAGAAAGGAGCAGGAATCTGCTTGCATTATTTGCCTTCTTCCAGGCGAATACAATCATTGCTATGACAAACTGCACCTTGGTGTTTCCCGTGGTATTCGTAGGTCTCGTGATACCCCAGGCTGAGCATCATCTCTGGTTCTTGAGCAGGGAGCTTGGGGGACGGTTTTCTATGAGGATTTTTTTTTTCCCAGCCTTCTTTCAATACACAAAATATCCCTTTTAAAAATGGATGCCACTTGATCAAAGGAGGAAACAAAATCAAAAACCCAATTCTTATTGTCCCTGAATACAGCTAAGTTTTTACAGATTTAGTTACATATGTACCTAGAACATCTTTCTTTTAACAACAGCAGTTGACTCAAGCTCTCGGGAGAATGTTCCTCTTATCTTAAGTGAAATAAACATATTAAACCTGTCATCTCTCAATCTTAAAAGACGACTATGAGCTTTGAGCTTTGCAAGAGCAATCTTTGCCGTGTCTCTTAGCGCTGTTAAAACTGTTAAGAAAACTTTTAAAATATTGTTTTCTAAAGTTCCAGTCAAATGCCTCTGGATTTGACTAAAAATGTGGGCTGATGTCATCTTGTGTTAGCCTTATATAGTGTGGAATCAAAAACATCATTGCAAACCCAATAAAACACCCCACAAGAGAGGGTGTTTTATTCAAAGACCCTCTTTCAAGGCGTCTAGACCCCATTCCCCGGCCTTTCAGCAAGCGTGTGCATCTCAGGTCAGGGAAGAGCTCCTGGTCTCTGATTTCTCCAGTGGAGCCAACACGGTTGTAACCCACGTGCTCAGGGAGTGGGCCCTTCCCAACGGAGCAGCTAATAAAAAATACATTACATCTAATCGTAAAGGATCCTTTCTGAAAATGCTAAACGTTCTTCTCTGACTACAGGGAGACGAGATTTACATGGGCGTCCTCAGAAATGGCTACCTCTCTGCCAAGCGTTCCATTCCTCTACAGCTAAAAGGAATCCTCCCCCTCTCCATCCTTGTGTTTCCACTGAATTCAAGCATCCTTTCAAATCAACAATGGATGGATTTCATACAAAGCTCTAAAAGGAATGAGCAAGGTAGAAGGAAATACACTCCCATTTGGGAACATCTAGTCTCTCAAGGGAGGTTCATAAGACAGTTGGAACAAAAATTAAAGGCTGGCTAATGAGGAGGCTGGAAAGGAGGTTTCTAGTGGCTGATGGAATGAAAGACCTTCTCTGAGCTAATAACTTTACATAATGTGAAAAGAAAGCCAGAGCTGACCCCTTGGAAGGATCAATATTTCTGCAGAAAATGCCATAAAAACTTAATTACTAAATTCTGAAATAGTGAACATGATTCCTTAAAAATCAATTTCCAGCATAACCAGGAAAAACAAGCTTTCCTTTCATGTTCATTAGGAACATATGGCTTAAACCCTTATGAAAGTGGATGCAAACAGCCCAGCTCTCAGTTACCTGGTGGCGCCTCCAGCTTTCGCTTGTGGGGCGGGTCCTGGATGATCCTGTTGAGGTCTCCACGGTCCTTCAGGTCCACTGGCTTCTCCCAGACAGACAGCTGCATCGTGGGGTTGAAGAAGAAAACCCGATCGTCACCTGTCCAGACCACACACCTGTTGGAAGTGAGAAACTCATCTTAGTCACCCTCAAAGATATGTAGTTAAAAAGTCATTAGTGTTTACCCGAACTCAAAAAGCCCATCATGACTAAAATCCACATGTTTCCAAAGGTTACTTATGTAGTGTATAAGTAATAACGATCGTGTCTGGCTTTTCAGGGTCCTTTACAGATCTTACATATTTTATCTTGTTTGATTAACAAGTAGCTATTACCCTGACCGTCCTTATACCAGTAAAGACATCAGAGGTCAGCAAAGCAAGTGGCTTACGGAGGCCACAGGAGGTGGGTGCTCTTCCCAGACGCCAACTCTCTCTGTTTTAATGTAATTGCAGCTCAGAACCCGAGCCCTCGGGGTGCCTCTGGCCCCGGATCCAGGAACTGAGTCATTTGAGAGTGGTTTCCCGGAAACTTCCCGATTAAGCACTGAGCATGCGTGGGAGGCTTCACGGGCCCTGGAGGATGCACAGTGCACAGCTCAGTGCTCTCCACAGCAGGAAGATCAAATGGGCGGCTTTGACTAGCGACTTCACCCTCCTGTCCCGCCTGGTTTTTAGAAGAGCAAAGACTTAAGCTTTGTATTTTTATACATAGAAATCTAAAATCTTTGAAAGAATAATATGCAATTTTAAGGCCCCTTATCAGTGGAAGGTTATCAGAGAGGAGAAAAGATTAAAAAAGAAAAAAAGTGAAGAAAAACGAAAGACAGAAAGATCCTTTCCTGAGCACTGTGAGCGGGCCTGTGATATGGAAACACACACAGGAATTTGGATCTGGCCTCAAAGTATCCCAAGGAACGTGGCCAGTTAAGGCCACCAGGCTGGCATCTGGCTTGGGCTCTGTCCTCTGACTGGTCTCAGGATGGTGCAGAGAAGGAGCCCTGTGCTGGCATCAAGGCCTGTTTCTGGTCTGGGCCTTCCAGAAGGTACCCCTTGGGCAAGGCCTTTCCCCTCCCTGGGCCTCAGCTTCGCCCAGTGACCTCTGAGGGTCATGACAGCTCCAGGATTCTCCTCGGACTCCTCAGATGCTATAGGAATGGGCAGGAAAAGCTCCCATGTGCCCAAACCCTCTGGCTGTTGATTTCTCTCTGAAGGAGGACCTCTGCCCTCTGGGCACTACTTTGGCCCCTGAGAACCGGCTCCTGCCTTACCTAGCCAGACACAGGTGGTTATCTGCCATTGGTGTGGATTCGGGCCAGCACAAGCCACTCTGCTTCGCATAGAGAAAATCACTCCCACCCCCGAATCTCCATGCCCAACCCAGCCAGCCACTTTCCACAGGCCACATGGAGGGCTCGAGCTAAACCCCACGTTCTGAAAACTCTGGGCAGACCAGGACCCTTCCCAGAAATGACACTGAGTTGGTCATACTACCCCAGCCAGGCCAGGTTCATGGGTGTAGTAGACAGAATGATGGCCCCCAAAAAGGTCCACATCTTAACCCCTGGAACCTGTGAGTGTGTGACCTTACAGGGCAATAGGGACTTCGTAGATGTCATTAAGTTAATATCTTGAGATGGGAGATTATTCTGGATTGTCCAGGTGGGTCCATAGTAGTCACAAGGGTTCTTATAAGAGGAAGAGGGAAGCAGAGGGGTCAGAGTCAGAGAAGGAGATGAGAGGACGGAAGCAGAGGTCAGACAGATAGACAAACAGATACACACACACACACACACACACACACACACACACACACACACACAAGCGGGGGAGCAGGGGGAGAGAGAGAGATTGGAAGATGTTACCCTGCTGGCCTTGAAGATGGAGGAAGGGGCTAAGGAACGCAGGCGCCTCTGGCAGCTGGAAAGGGCATGGAGCAGATTCTCCCCGCAGCCTCCAGAAGGAACTGGCCCTGCCCACACCTCGGCTTTAGTCCCGGGAGACCCAAATGGGACTTCTGACCTCCGGAACTGTGAGATGATAAGTTTGTGGAGTTGAAGCGTCTGAGTTTGTGGCAGACTAGTCAACAGGCTTCACCTTGGTCTCTCTCAGTCCTGGGTGCCAGCATCAGGACCTGCATCCCGCCAGCAGTGACCCAAACCCCAAGCACTGTGCCGGCAGGCATCAGCCGCTGGTGGCTTGGTCATTGCAGGCGGCAGAAGACTGTGACCCGCTGTCTTGGCTGACACACCCTCCCGCTCTAGACCTGCCCTTGACCTTCAGGTGACGTGGAGAGCTTCCCCTCATCCTGTGTGGCCTCAGTTCCATCATCTCATTGGTGGGGGTTGGAATGGAGATTTGGGTTATTCTAACATTGCCTGGCTATGAGGAAATCGAAGCAAGACACAAGGGCCCCTGTCTTTATTAGAGGCAAGACAGCCTGTAGGCCACGGGAGCTGCCCACGCCCGTGCTGGGGGCTGGAAGTCCAGGGGCAAGAGAGGCAAAGTGGAACAGGACCCCAGGCAAGTGGTGGGGCCCCTCCCCTGCCCCGAGATGCCTAACCTCTCCAGGCCTGGAGGGAGCTGCATGCCCCTCGAGGGCAGGGCTCGGCTGGCACAGAAGTTCTTGCTGAGTACATTATGCTGTGCTGTAAATTGTGCACAATTCAGCCACTGCATGAGCTCTCCAGACAGACTTCTGGGCTTGCAGGGACCATCAACCCTGTCAGAGGAACTCGGCGCCTTCCCTCTCGGACGGTCACAGCTCTGCTGATGAAAAGCTGCCAGGTCGGTCTGGGGGCTGCCCTCCTTGGCAACACCCAGCGCTGGTTCTCAGCACCCCACTCTCGGCCTGTGCTTTTCGGGGACTGTGGGTGGGGCGGTGGGCGGTTTTCTTGTCATGAAGGCAGGCTCTGCTTCCAGCTTCAACTGGACACGGGCTGCAGGCAACGTCACGAAAAAGGCAAGCAGACCAGCAGCAGTGCAGGGTGTGGCAGCAGATCCTGAGAACCTTCCACCCACGGTGCCTCGTGTGGACTCAGGCTTGTTGGATGCTCACACGCATCCAGCCACCACCCCACACGCAGGCTTCTTTGGCTGGGCTGTGGCTGGAGAAACACCTACAAGACCGAAGCTCCTGGCAGCCAGTGGGGTCCATTTCTCATAGCGTGGCTTGGAGGTTTTTTTTTTTTTCATGATGTTTGACTGCATTTGGCCTGAGTGGAAAATTCTAAAAGCTTCCCTGGCTCCCTGCCTCCCTGTCTATCCACTTAAGATTTAAGAGGTACTGCATGGAACTTAAAGGTCTTCCGGGAGCCCTGACCTCACCTGGCAGAACAGAGAACCACTTCTGCTGGTCCTGCTGCGGCTGATAGACCTAACAGGTACCGAGTCCCTGGCAGGAAGTCATCCTGTCCCCATGGCCCCTCCACACACACATGCCAGTGATCTGGGCATCAAGCCTCAGCCCCCAACAGCATCGTTCCCAGAGCTGACCGACCTGTTCCCTCCTCAGAGCCACTGAAGGGAGAGAGCACTCAGCCAGGAGTCCAGGGGCTTGGAGGCCTGCCTCCCACTGCAGCTCTGCCCCTTGGCTCTGCAACACCCTAGGCAATGAATTCACTGTGTGGGCCTCGGTGTCCTCATTTGTAAAAGAAGGTTGGTGGACTAGGGTCCCCAGATGATTTCTTGAGTCCTTCCAACTTTTATTCTAGCTTCTATTCTTTTCTCTTAATTTTCCAGTTTGGTGCCAGGACGCCAGTCATGGTCACTACTGGTGCCTCTTCCCTGCTGATGGACCTTACGGGCAGGGGCACCTGACCCCAGCTCCCTGACCTTGGCTGCCCTGGGCTCACAGCCCCACCTCCTCTAGATAATTGTGCTTAGCCAGTGGCTGCCTCACCTGGAGGCCATGCCCACCCCGGGGCAGCCTACAGCCCTGCCTGCCTGGGGGGTGGAGGTGGGCCAAGTCTGTGGTGCAGTTCACGGTCCAGGGCGCTGAGGCTCGGCCTCCAGCTGAGGCCACATCCTTGCTTAGCTCCTCCCTGGCCTGCTCTCCCACTCCCCGCTCCCAGAAATCACTCTTTCCTAGCTGGGCACTGGCCTGGGCACTGCTTCTGGGGAACCCGTCACAGGACAAACCCCAAAGGGGTGGAAGGACTAAGTGTTCCAGGACACTTTCCAACAGGTAAGACGGCAGGGAGAGTCTGCATCAGGGACACCAGCCCCACCACCTCCCTCTTCCCTATAATACCTGCACTTTGGGTTTTCAAAGACAAGATCTGATCCCACCAAACATGGCACTGCCATCACTACAGAGGCTGCAGGACCCAGGTAACTTGTGCTCACTGGGAAGTGTGCACTTAACTAAGACCCACTGATGGGACAAAGTTAATTCATCCCACAAGTGGACGGGGTGTTTCACTGAGAACTATTAAGGAGCTGGCAGCCTCGGAAACACAGGTACAAGGTGACGGTGGGGAGGCATTTGTGCCCCTGTGGGCACAGAGAGAAAGCAGATTCAGCCCTGAGCCAGCCCCCAAAGCAGGACCAGCCTCAGCTCACCCCAAGTCCCTCCCACCTGGCTCTGGGCAGCTGTCCTAATCGTGGAACACACAGCCTCCTGGGTGGTTGACCTTAAGTCACTAGTCTTCCTAAGCACCAAGGGACAGGCTGCTGGGTCCTGAGAAGGTTCTGGTCAGTGGAGAGGGCAGAGACTGGGAGAATAAGAAGAAACTGAAAATCGGTGAGTGAAGATATCCACCACCCCGGGATTGGTGCTGTAGGGTTCAAGAGAAATGAGATTTCAACTTTGGGCCCTAGACTGCCACTTACAGATCTCATGTAGACCTGACACAAGGCTGAAGGAAGGACAGTGGGTGTGGGCAGGCGTCTAGGCAGGTGGGTCTGTTCAGGTGGGCCAGGACAGGTGGGTTTACGAAGGTGAGTTTGGGCAGATAAGGCCAGGCAGATGGGTCTTGACAGGTGGGTTTGGGCAGACAGATCTGGGCAGCGTCTGGACAGGTAGGCCTGGGCAGATGGGTCTGTCAGGTGAGTTTGGGCAGGTGGGTCTGGGTAGGTGGGTGCAGGCAGGTGGGTCTGGGCACGTGGATCTAGGC